TTCGTGCGGTGTAGCTATGCGCTCCCAGGAACCAGGAAATGTTAGGAATTCTGGGACATGAACTGTAGTCGACGTTCTTATTTTTAACTCTTATTTCCTTGGACACTAAATTTGATTAAAGCTAAACCGGAAATACGGTAGCAGACAACCATTGTTGTTTGAGAAGAAAGGCCCAAGGTTGTGAGCCTAAGAAATCTGTATTTACTTAAGGATTACCTAGGCTTTGTACCTGCACTATTTTGGAAGTGTGTTAAAGATGTTGTACATTGTTACATAATGTTTCTTGTTTCGTTTTCATGTAGTGACTCGAGTCGAGTCATGAGGCAAAGAAGTTGAGTCGAGTTGAGTGTGTAGTCGAATTGAGTCATCACTGAGTCAATTCGAGTTAGAAATAGTTGAACACAATACCACAAATAAACACAATGAAATACATCTTGACCCATTTCCCCTCACATCCGGGCTACTGCATTTGGTGACATCACATCTTACTCTTCATGAAAATAAAATAAATGTGCCAGTAATTGCCATCCATGAACGAAGGAGGCAACATTTAATCTTTGACAACTCCAAAACGTAATTGCACAGTAAAAATCATTTTAATGTAAATTTAGACCTTCGTTTGTTTGTGGTTTGAAATGAAAGCATGTTGTTTTGGCGAAACCATTTAGCCGGCGTTCTGACAAGAGCCTCAAGAAACCAAGAAGACAATGATGAAACCACGAATTGAGAAATCCAAAGTCCAGTTACGGGTCAGCATTACATGCTACACCGAATCACAAGGTAGAGTACATGACATGATTTACATGTATGTTTGTTGTACAGTGGAGCCGTAAAACGTGGACGGCCGCTGATTAGAGTAGGCATGTTGGATACCGTATTCACGACATGACGCGAACACGATAACCGGCACCGTCAGTCGTTGTAAATATGTCTCGCAAATTAAGCAGTTTGCTTTATCGCGATTTTAGTCTTATAAGCTGTTTTAACGTGAGTTCAGTCCTCTATAACCAAGGACTTGAGTCGATTCATTTACTCGTAGTTATTCGAGACGAGTCATGTAACCGTCTGGAGTCGAATCGATTGGCCAGAAATTGTGACTTGAGTCAGACTTGAGTCAAGTCTTTGACTCGCGTCATTACAGCTCTGCTCTATTAAATTTGAGGCTTTCTTGCGCCCCTTTTTACTTGTATATGTGACACGAACTGGGAACAATTTGGCAGCAAGTGGCTACCTTTTTACCTCCAGGTTGGAAAAAAGGACTGGGATGTCTATGGTTATTGTTGATATCGAATTAGTAGGGAAACAAAAATAAACGAAGACTGATCTTGACTGCTTAGGCTTACTTCTGAGGGTCAAGCTGCATGCGGCAGTATCCTTGGTGTCGGCATTTAGTGGTTTTGATGCCCATGCGCATGCGTTTATGATTAGCTATTTCTTGGACAATTGAGGACTAATTTAAAGGGACCAAAATACGTGGCACTCGATCCCATGGACGTTGTTGTACGGACATTGCTTGCTGACCATGCCAGCGAGCGTGCTTGTACGTACGTGCCTACCTTAATTAACAACTTGACGTAAACAACTGGTTATATTGAACTCCACCGTTGTCCAGATCCCTTTTTTAGGTCGAGTGTCTGTGTTTGCGTTAGTCGCGTTTACTATGATCGTTCAGCTATGGTGTCAGTGTCGTTACGCTCAGCCTATAGCAAGTGCCGCCCTTCTAGTTTTACAAACTGCTCATGGACTCGAAACTTAGTGGCACAAGGATGGTGCTTATCCTATGGTCTCCGGAATGACCAATAGACGGATTCCCTAACGACAGGATTCTGACGTTTCCTGATCTACTTCAGGCATGCACTCAAATCCATGTGTTTATATTACATTCATTACGCAAGACAAAGTTGAAGGTTTGTTATGTGCAGTTTTGAGTTGGACAGACGCTGTAGATCGAAAGATTACAATTGCATACTAAGAATGAAGTCGAATGAGACAATCATGAATAGTTTCTGAGTCTTGAATGGATAAAATGCGGACTAAAACTGACAGGCTGCTCTGATGGAAAGAGAGGCAGACGTAATTAAACCTACAAGCCAATTTCATTTCAAAGCGCACATACATGAAACTGAAAAGGTACGGTCTTAATTTTACCTCGTTATTAATTTAAGGCAGCAAATCAACTTTCAATTATAGTTCAAACACCAACCAAAGTACCAAACTTTCATCATATCACAGGCATAAATTTTCAAGGCGCGCTTTCATGACCTTCCTTCCTCACTAAAATGTTCACGGTGCCTGGTATAATTTTTGTAAAACGGAATATAGGGCTAACCTCTTGCCTTAAAGGGGATAGGCCGTGCTGGGAAAACTTCTTGTAAAACATGCATGAACACATAAAACAAGCAAACAAACATATATGTAACAAGAAAACAACATCTGCATAATCTCAAAATACGATGAAATAGGTAAAAATTATAGTTTTACGACCCTAGCTCACCCCCCTCTGGAAGCAAAAACTAAACAACAGCTGTTGGTACCGAAAGTTGTCTAAAGAAATTCCCCAGAATCGTGACGTCGTAGGACGGAGTCCTTTATTCAGCGACTGTGTACTGTTACGCAACGACGCGTCGACGGTACGTAATGTACATGTACTGTACATGTAGTAGCGTTAGCATGTGCTGCAATCATAAATTTCAAAGCGTGTGCAATCATGTCAGACTCGCGAGAGGCAATTTAGCGATGCACAATCGCGTTGGTGGACCCGTTGCAGTATGTAGCATAATATTTTCGACTCATGCAGCGTGCAAATAGATGCCTTCAGAGTAATCAAGACTGTTTTTGACAAGAGGAAACGGGGAAGGGGAAGATCACGAACTAAATAAGGGTCTTTTGTGAATAACGCCGGCAGCACTCATAATGACCACTGAGCTCAAATTGCTTTCACGCACTATCTTAATGGCATGAAAGGTTTAAACCCATAGGAAACACTATCTTAATGGCGTGGAAGGTTTAAACCCATAGGAAAAGTTTCCATTGAACTGTCGCAAAATTCAATCTATGGAATGGTTGCCGACAATTACGTATAGGTGACGCATTCGATGTTCCCATGTCGCAAATAGTCTAAGGCCAAACCAGAAAATAAACAGAGTGTCCCCCACCCCAAATGCCAGCAACTTAGAATTGTTGTTGTCTTTGGTATTAAACTGAAGCTTAGGATGCTATCTATTCAAAACTGAATATTTCTTTGAAATTTATGATGCCTTGCTCAGATAATTTTGACAAGACAGTGTCTACATGCACATGTATGGGCAGGACAAAAACTAGTTGTGTTCCGGAACACACAGTTGCCGCGCAATGTGTCCTCAGATTTAAATGAAGTGTCCATCTTTGCACAAATGACATCTTAAGTCTTAATAAGTTGATATCTAAACATTGTCTTGGGAGAAAATAAATGTACTTTTGGATTTGCTTTTTGGGCCATCCCCTGTACAGTAATGTTTCTCATTATAATTAACAGATAAGAGTGATTAAGTGGGCCAAATTTGTGAGTTTTTTCCCCTAAAAATATCAGATCATAGAGCTCTACGGTCACAGCAGGCGCAGTGCAAGTACAACGGACTGACCAAGGCGCAGATACTCCACTGTTTTCCGAGACAGACGGATGTCAACTGACTATAACAAGGTATTTTTCTAAAGTCCCAAGGACCTTGTTATAACAGTGTTCCACTGTAATACGTTTCTTGTAATGCTAGTTTTCTGGCCTCCAGTCAAAACTGTTTTTTTTCTTTTACTAAAAGGACTTCATTGGATTGCCAATATGCGTGTGTCAATGGAATTTATTACCCTTTAGATTGACATTTAAAATTGTCTTGAGGCTAACGGGACAGCTGACCTTTAATTTGTGAAATCGAAATCAGCATGGGTTGGAGATGAGGTGCTGTGGAAGTGTAGATTTGGCTGCGTCTAGCGCAAATAAGCTTGTCAGCAGGTTCACTGCAGAAAAAAATCCACACCCCTGGGCAGCAGAGGGCGTCATAATGTCAAATGGTTCGACACAACGATTAGCATCACGAGTTTGTTTCTCAGTCTAAATGAGCACGGTGTGTAAACTGATAGACAAGTGCAACTTTAAAGCCTTCGGTTGATGCATTTGCACATAAGCGGATAAAATTCCTCCTATTATTTTGAGTTGAATTTGACACACCTGCATACTTGAGTTCTCTGAAAACGTTTATATGCAACATTTTGCGTTCCATCCATTCCATGAGCTTCGAGTGGATCAAGGGGTGCAATTTTCTAATCAACGGAGGTTCCTTTGGTCGGAACTAAAACTTTGCTGGTTGACAAACGACTATGAATGAACATAAATGAACACTGCCGACCAATATGACACTTTTCAATCGCCGAGGGGGTGCTTCTGCTCGAGCCGGATGCGCATTGGTTCGGGTTCTGATTGATTGACCATTGTTCCATATGCACCAGTTGCTGAACATTCAAATATTATTTCGGTTATACCACAGAAACTAAATCTGCTTGTTTGTGTGGAAATCTTTCTCAATGAACTTTAGAAGAGGGGTTCGTTCCCCACGCATGGGGTCGCAGGGCCCGGGGAACCCCCCAAAGAACAGACAAAACACAAAAAGGGGGAGGTATCTGAAGGGAAAGAATACTTACAAAGACGAAAGTGGGTGAAAGTAACCAGTTTGCTTGAAATAAAAAATCGAAATTGACTCTCTTCAACATTTAATGGTTTGTCATTTTGCAGCCGATGTTGTATGTTTATAGAAATCAGTGAAATGAATGCTCCCGACCAACATGCCTCTTTTCAACCGATGAGGGGGTGCTTCTGCTCAAGGCGGATAGCTCTGTAGGAAGCTGGTGAAGTGAGGTTAAAGTCCCTTTTATAGCGATCTGCATTATACATATGTACACGCAAACAGCAACTATGCACTAAAACTTGCCGACCTTTTCCTCTACAGAAATCAGACCCTTCGTACTGCACATTGAATGTTACGGTAAAAATTTATTTGCTTTACTCATTAGTACACGAATAGTGATTAACAGTAAGGAGAAACAGCTAGGCCTAAAAAGGAGGTCAACAAAATTAACATTTGTCTCAATCTATTTTACGTTATGGTCTAAATGACTCTTAGCACAGTGAAGCCTTCTTAGCATTTAATAAGAATATCGTTCTAATAAAAGATATTGCTGTAATTAGTTTTAGACAAACGTATTGTTCTAACATGGAAATGTTACCAAGGATACAGTTACAAGCATAAATATGAGAGATTATGTGTTCACTCAGGTATTTGATGAAAATTTGGTGATAGCCTCATCATCACGCAGAAAGGTCCCACAAAAAATAATCGAAGTCAATTTAACATGAGTTTGTTCGTGGTACATTAAAAAAACGTAAATCTAAGGTTTGTCTCAATCTATTCGCATTTTAGAGGTCAAAAGGGCCCTTAGCACTGTGAAATCTTCTCAACCTTTGGAAGAATAGCGTCCAGAAGAAAGCCTGCATGCTGAAACTGATTTAGAGCTTAAAGGTTTGAAGAACATTTTATACAATGTATAAAAAAGTAAGCAAGTTGGTAAACAGTCTTGTGTCACTGCAGCTATAGTTGCTGTATGCAGATTTAACTGGATCTCCGTAAAATACGTTGCGATCATACTTCAAAAGTGTTATCTTGTAGAACAGTGTGTTTGTGGGGCTCAATCATAACGTAGTACACGTGTCTATGCAATCAAAAATGTAATTGCAAATTTTGTCTAAAATTTGGATATCTGTCGCTTTATTTCGAATGGCATGGTTGCTACGCCAGTAAGTACAACTTCTGCGATAGTACATGTACATTGTGTCACACGGGCAGGCATTATGCATGCACAATGTACACGTGTAGCCACTCTTTTTTTGCTTACAACTTGTATGAGCGGCCAAAGTTTGCAGAAATATGACCTTTGGTTGGTTTTCGATTTTATCTCAAATTCGTTCAAAATGAACATCTGTCCCATTAATGTCAAATAGGGTTGTAATTTCATTTAGCATTTAGTTGTACGTGTATTACGTGGTTCTGGTAGTTGCTTGGGATTTTAAACACTTTGTGAATTAGGCATATTGTTTTCGTTTTGTACCGACGACCAGCCGTAGTTTTTGCTGCCACGTGTAGGAAAAACACGACTGTGACGTCATAAGAACGGAACCTATGTAGGGGCAAAGTAAAAAAAAAAAACAGTGCTCACTGATTTGGCAAACCAGTGAGCACAGTGCTTTCTTACTTTGCCCCTAGATTACTGATCATCGGTGCTCCGCAGTATTATGCCGTCACAAAAGATATTAGGCTGCATGTGTATTTGTTGTGTAGAGCTAGGTCTAGGCCTTCAGTGCGTTAAAAATACGCGGAAACGTGCAGACAACAGACCCAACCGCAGCTCCAGAAGCCCGTTTCGGACACGGCCTTTATAACTGCCTTTGAAGAAAACCCAACTTCAATTAGCCTGTACAGAGCTTGGAGATTACTTAATTAGAAGAGATACGAGAGAATATTGTATGGGGTTGAGCTACAGGTTGGGTTGGGTAGACGTCGACCCACTGCAGTTCTGTTCGTCGTCGCCGTTCGGGCAGTCCACCTTCCCGTTGCATTCCCACGAGCCCAGGATGCACATCCTGTCCTCGGGGTCCTCTCCTTCTATGGCTTGGCATTTGAAAGGCACGCCGGGCTTACCAAGGAAGTCCTTCTCGCACTGCTCTGCAGTGTAGACGGAGAGAAAAATTGTATTGTTGGTGGCATATTCAAGTAAGCACTGCATGTTGAGTCACCGAAACGTAAACGGGTACAGTCGCGCAAGACCTCCACTGAGATCTTGACTTCTGCTTTCATCTGAAACCTCGAGGTCAACGTTTTCGTGCTATGTGTAGGGAATGCATCCATTTTCAAATACACAACTTCTGATCTGTTTTCCGTCTTCTGAAACCTAAAGCCTGCAGATTTCACACACAAAAGTCAAGATTATAAGCACAGCAAGCATAGTGTCGAGCAATATCCGATGAAACTCTGTGGGCACATCTGGGGAGGTGGTCACGGTGCCCAAGTCGGGGACGTGTAGCCAATGTTTTTTTAGGAATTGAATTCCTGAAACAAACGGTACGAATTACTACAGGGAATTGTGTCAACATTTCAAGCCTGGCTAATGTCTGCTGTATTTTCACAGAGATCAGTGCATCGAGTTTGGATTGCACAAACATGTGATGAAGTCTTGTTCTAGAACCAATATTTTGAGTGGGTACAAGAAATAATCTTTTCTTTCTAGTTTAATCTACTTCTGGTTTTTGACTACAGAAACTGCATCCAACAGTGTGCGCGTGAGATGAGCATTGTGGTTGTTCGAATGAGCTTACCCTTGTGCTCGTCTTTACAGCCCTTCTCGTCAGCGTTGTTGGTGCAATCGACGATGCTGTCGCATTTGGACCTCATTGTGTAGCACTCACCCTCTGCTCCCTGCCCGCAACTCTGGTATTTCGAAGGATCCAACTGGTCGGTGTGCAGAATCTCCTTGTATTTATTGCAGCGGTCTGCGCAGGCGATCAGAACAGAATGGCGGTTAAGTTTTGGGGCATCAAGCCGAGCGATCTAGTTGCTCAGTACTACCAGACACATGTATTGAGACGTTTTTTATGAAATGCGTGTTTATGTGGGTGCATAAGTGTGTGCATGTTCATGTAATCACATACGGAATGAAAGGTTGTGCCTTCTGAGGAGAGCCTGGCCTCCGGCTGGTGGATCGGGGGGGGGGGGTTATGCCGTTGGGAGCTAGTGCGTGTTTGATTATTAGGTCACATGACACTAACTTGAGTTGCTCAACAGTTTGAAAATTCTGATCAGTCGCCTCATTTCTTTGTGATTTGTTTTAATCATAGTTGCTGCATGGTTAATACAACATGGGCTGACGGCTCTTCACCGACTTGTTCTCCATTTCACCCCATTGGGCCGGCATAATTAAGATACGGGTGGAGGATGCGAATTCGCTGTAATCCACGCGCATGGCTGGTTTGGGGAAGCGGCACCTTCGCTTGCCCAAACAGAGGCCACATCTCACTTCGCACAAATTAAAATCCAATCTGAAGAACAGGAAATGAACAGGGCATTACTCTACATCTTTGTTCTTAGTATTAAGCGCCGCAATATCCGAAGCATTAAATGCTATTCACATCATTGTGCTCCACTTATTACAGAGGGGCTCACCCAATTTCATAATAACAAATCACCTTCCTTTTTCGAACCTTATGGGCAAAAATGGTGAAAACAGGCTTGTTTTTTTATTGTTGAATTTCGGTTGATGAAAAAGAGTTCCACATATATTTTAATATGCATTTACTGTGCAAAACCCAGATGAAATGTTAGTAAAAACAATTGAATCAGCGAGACAGAAAAAACTTTACCTCCTGGCTTGATTCGTTCGCTCTTGTTGATAGCGCAGGCCACACCGACCAAAAAGCACAAAACGAGAAGCCTTGACACTTCCATGTTAATCTGTCAACAATGGAATCGAAAAAACATCAGACATTTCTGCCGATCCGTTGACCTAGCATCGTTTACATATGTGTGTTGTCAGCAACGTGGTTACGGACCAAATGAAGAGAGAGAGAGAGTGGGAAAGTGAAGGAAAGGGTCTGCCCCTCCCCTCCGAAGAGCCTGGCTACGCCATTAGGCGTCTAGGCAAGTGATACATGTACATAAATGGAAGAGGGGATGGGAGCAGGATATTCGCCTTGAGCAGATAGAACCACCCCTCATCGGTTGAAACGAGCCGTATTGGTGGGTTTTCTGGGGAGCGAAGTGAAGTTCCTACCAAAGGAGCCTCTGTTGTTTGGAAAATGGCGCCCTCTCTTGGTTCGGCTCGGGGTTCACATCGTACATGTACAATATACGAGAGCAATATAGCTGTCCAGTAATGTACACGTAATGTGCGATAAAGTGGAAGAAAATAGTTAAGTCTGTCCTGTCGAAACGGTCATATCTTATTAGAAGTCAGTGTTTCGATGAAAATAGCACAAAGGTTCANCCCTCTTGCTATATCTGCCCTTTTAAATTTCCTCTGTCCAAGGCAACAGAAAAATCTTGATAACCTTGCGTTACGTTTACTTAATGCACTTTCTTATGGGAGCTCAGGAAAATCGCGTCCCACCTCACCGCCAAAGGAAAGCGTTTAATGTGCACAAGAAGTGACGTCATTATGCAATTGGTATTATAGTATTAGAGTGCTCACTTAAAATTAATACATGTACGCTGCAACAGTCTGCAAGTGATTCACGCCGTTTTACGAAATAGATAAACTCTCAGCATACCGGTCACAAATCTCATGCGATGGACAGTAACATTTAATTGAACATTGGACACTGAAAAACAACAGTGTTTGACTTGGGACTGCTCGATCAGCATGAATGACAACAAGTTGCTTCATTTCATCTAGCTTTTTGGTAACGAAGTCATCTCGGTGGCCTGGGCGCAGGGTCGTCGTTATTACGTAATGGTCTGTAACGTGTGAGGCATTCTGAATAAACGACATGAGAGCCTCTATAAACCCTGCGAGCTTTCTAAAGCCTTTGTGTAAAGACTGTGTCTTGTAAGCCGCTCCCATGTGCACTCAGTCGTCGGTGATTTACATGTGAAGCAGGCAGCCAGCTACGTGTACATGTACATAAAAGTTCAGTTGATGAACAAACGGGAGCAGAAAGTTGGTACCCATAGTTGGAACTCCCCCCCAAGGGATTAAATTATAGAAGGGTTACAATACTTTCGTCCCAAAACTTCCCTATTCGTTTTTGGTCAAATCTGAAATATTGATCCTGACATCTCTCTTCCAGGCCCACCTGAACCTCTAATTTCACCTTTACTGAATGAAAAATCCATATTTCAGGTTACTCCACTTGATTTCTAATTTCCTTCACAAAATTTTCGGAGGTATAAATACCACACCATAGTTGGAGAGCAGTGAAGCCCCTTGGAAGGTAAAAAAGGATTTGGGTAGGCTTCTTCCACAAACGCCACGGGACATGAAAAGAGTTCCCTACCTTGACGTAATACTCGACAGCTAAATTCTAAGTAAATGCTTCAAGATCTTAGAATATGTTATGACTTTCTGATGGCTGATGTGGCACTGCAGGGAAACATTAGCCATAGAAAAGTATGGAAATCATACCCAACTAACATACCAATAACGGATTATCTTCAAAATGGTGTCATATTCCAAGCTGACTTGTTCGTTCTACGCAAACTTCAGCTACTCGCCTTCCAATTCATGTTACGAGTAAACCCAATTGCCGTAGCCAGCCAGTGTAATTCAACTTGGTTCCTTTGCTCATAAGCTAGGAATAAGGCACCCCCTTAACACACCATTCTGCCTCACAAGAACAATGGTTAGTTGGTCATCGTCAGACTTTAGCCAACGGAACAAGTTCCCTACACGAACATCATTTAACACCCTGTACACAAACCCTGTTAGACTGGTCTGAAAAAACTTAGATGTTGATTAATTAATCTCTCAATATTTTCCCTGTTAAATTTGACCTTTCAAGGCACGTTATTACTCTAATTGCTAGCCTGAAACCACTTCAAGGGGAAAATTGGTGATGTTTCCGTATATGAACTCTTTCCCAGCCGGTCGTCGCTCGTTCACTCGGAAGAAAACCCGAAATTTGAGCCCAAAAACCTTTGATACATTGCAAATTTACTTTTAAAATGTACGTGACACCCGCAGTTTTTCAAGTCAAGGCAGGATCTTGGCGCGCGTCACAGTCACTGCAGATATTTTGAGCGAAAAAAGAGGCCAAACAGATGTACATTCCAAATCGTTACGAAATGTTTTCAAAAGTTCCGTTCATAACTTCGAATGCTTTGTACACAACACTTTGAGAAACTTGAAAACAGTTTTAGTAACAAATCGTTGGATACCATCCATTACAGTTAACACACAATACATAAAAACAAGTGTAAAAATTTACTTACCAATTGTCAAAGTGAAGTTCGGGCCTTTATTGTTAGGAAACGAGCCTCGTATGCCACAGTGTCAAACATCCGAATGGCCACTGTGAGGTTTTCTCTGACCCCTAAAAAGCTGCACTCAAGTGAAAGGTATGCCCACGCCCGGACAGATTTGAATAACAATCTCGGCGGCAGCTTACAAAAGCGGCATTGAAATTATGTGCTTTTGTGATTTGGTGTTCTGCATTCCACAAGGTTGATCATTCTTTAGCAAGCGACCACGGGCTTCTGCGATGCATTCATCTCGAGGGCCAAACCTCTGCCTTTGGTGGACGGTGTATGGTCATGTACGTAAAGTTGGTCCAACCAATGCACTTAAGCTGCTCTTTGTATCTTTCCAAAATATTGCTGGCGAGATAATTTATTTTAACTACGACTGTTTCGTGTGTGAAATCATGTGTGTTCGGCCAAATATGAATTCAAAGTTAGTTCGATTTTCAGGTTTCGTACATGTAGCAGTTTTTTCCTTTGAAGACGGCGTGTCGAACAAGTGCGTCCTTGATCGGAGGTAATTCTTTCTGGGCACATTGGGTCTCCATATTTTCTTCAAAATACACCGATCCCTTTGTCCATGGCAGGATTGAATTGACAAAAGTGAGCTGGTTAGACAGAAAGTTGTCGGTTTGGATCAAGAGTGCCTAAACCAATTTTTTAAAATGACTCTCAGAGATACCCCAAAAGGGCCTCAACTGGACAAGAAGGGGATTGATTCTTCCAAGATCAGTTTCTGTCATTCCACGACAAGATACTAAGATCCATATCACTGGAAAACGTTCATCAGATTGACCTAGTACGAAGTGCAGAGATACGGCAGTATTGAAATAAAAATGTTAAGCCCCGTACTGTCAGAGATACAGCAGAAACCCAGACAAAAATGGACAATCATTCACCATATTCACCATATTTTTTTCTCGGCAGGCCAGCACTTCCGCTTAGACTGATTACTTAAATAGAACGACTCAAAACAAAATTGCCAACAGACCAAAAAGCGATGTAGTATTTAAACTATTTGAGAATCTAGAACTGTGCTTTGCACGGCCCACCTTTTTTACCTCGTCTCTTCCTGACAAAGACAGAAACGTTAAAAGACAAGTAGCCAATATTTTTTTCCCAAAGCACGGCTATAGATGGAGTTGGAGTATAAATTATTTTTCAAAGGGTAGCGTAAAAGTATGGCTGTAAGGTTGTACGTAAAAAATTGTTTGAGTTCTCGTTTGGGGTTTTCCAAGTTCGTTTCCCACGCACGGCTGACAATCATTATAAAAACATAGCCAGTTCGGGTTTAGTCATTGAAGTTCGTGTCTACACGTACTTGTCATGCGTGGGCACAAAGTGTATATGACCCGATTTTGGGGGGTCAAAAACACTTCAATTCAATGCCAACCATTTTGTGCATGAGTGTTTAGATCTTGCCTTGACGTGGGTGGAAAAGAACCATGTATTCAGTTCCTGATTTCATCATTATAAAGTGAAGGTGCATGGGCAAAAAAGACGTTTCACTCGAACTTTGTTCACAACCTAACTTTTTAAAGCCAACTTTTGACGATTGCATTGAGAGTTAGTTTTCAGGTCATAACTCGTCATAGGAGTGGGACATTTTTTTTTTTTTTGCTTTTTTTTGGCAATTTTTTGTGGTAAATATTCCACAGAAATTCTGTACAGTAATCACAAGTGTACACAGACCTTGAAATCTGGTCGGGGACTTGATGGCATCGATGAAGGATACTCAAAAACCGCTAGGGAATTTAAAATTATAAAGATATATATCCCATTTATTTTTTACATCAAAATGACTCTACGTGATTCAGAATCAGAGAAAAAACTTTCTATTCTTCCAGTAAAATTGTTTTAAACAGTAAACGGGACAAACCACATATTCACACGGGATAATATTACTCCAACAATTTTTAATAATTATAATCAAATTTAAAAAACGACCCAAGCCTGTCAAGCTCCAATGAATATTAACAGTAGGTGTTTTTCATCTCGCCAAAATTCGAAATGACGATGCTATAATTATGATGGCCCTGACGGGACATCGCCAATCGTCAATATTTGCGACCTAATTCACGACTCGTTCTCTGGTCGCGTATATTGCCGTCAATATTTGCCACCGTAATTCACCACTCGTTGTATCTCTGGTTGCAAAATTGCCGCGTTTTTTTATCAGCAAGCTAGGCGGAAATGAAGTGTTCGCGCGCACGCGCAGTGACCTACATTTTCGGCTTCATCTCATGTCGTTATTCGGCTGGGCAGTTTTGGCACAACACAAGGGGCAAAATCTTAAAAAAGCAATTGCTGTGACTAAAGCCGAGCAACTTCTCTCTCTACCTGGCTTGCTGGAAAAAAATTGCGGCAGTATTTGCGACTGGAGATACGACGAGTAGTGAATTTTGGTCGCAAATATTGATGGCAATATTCGCGACCAGAGAGCGAGTCGTGAATTCGGTCGTGAATATTGGTGTCAATATTGATGATTGGGGATGTCCCTCCATATAATGGCTGAGGTGCCAGAGACAACTAAGGGCGTTAGAGATCAAGATGGTTTTATGCTTGTTGTCTACTTCTCGTGGTGGTGCAACTAAGCATGGACATCTAAAACGAGTCTTAACCTGATTCGTTCCTGCTTAAGCCTGTGGGAAGATGATAACTTTAGTCATCATCCGGTTCGCTTTCCAAAGCTTGACTTTTAAACTGCCCCCCAAGTGACTAATTACAAGGCGGCTTGACTTCGTCACCGATGCATCCGATCTCATCCGACAGGTCGGCGCAGTTGACGATGCCATCACAACGCTGGCAAGCCAGGATGCACATGCCGTCACCACACTGGAATCGCTGCAGGGCCCCCCCGTCTGCCGTCGTCTTCCCTTCGAAATCCTTGAGGCAGCTTTCTGTGGATGGAGCCAGACATGTTAGTCTTCACATTGCGGGTGTTTCCTCAAACCGAAAGAAAGATGGACCTTTCAGATCTAACATCCATCGCAAGAACGAGAATGCTGCAATGTATATTTACACTGGTAGCCTGTTTGTTGGTTTCCATTACATGTATTCATACAGGCATAGCCATAGGAAAACGGAAAAATGTAAAAAAAATCAAATAAATAAATAAAAAAAAATCATGGTTACTTTGTTAACAGTTTTTTTTTACTTCGGGGACCCTTTTCAGCGAAGAATGATCAAAATGAAACAGGCCTTTCATAGAATACATCAAAATGAATGTACCATTTTCGGCTCCATAATATTATAATTATTGAGAAAGGTGTGACATGAGTATCTCGATTGTTGGAACCAAATGGGGGATTATGCGTCGGTGTACATGGACTGTTAGCACAAAATAGCTACATGTCGCGCTGCACATTACTGAGCAGCCATGTTGGTTCCAAAGTCTGAAGTTGGCGTCACTCTCCCTATAAACAGCTGTTTCTTCTAGGGGAGTAACAAGGTCACGCCCATCTTAAAAGATTTGGGGGGGAGGGGGAGCAAGAAAACTGAGTTTTTGAGAGATAATCCTGTTTCGTTTCCTTCCCTCTCCAAAACGTCTAAGAAACCCCTTAACTTTGCTTTATCCCTGAAAAAAACCCAGTAATTAAAGATTACACAAAGACAATAAGATTGATTGACCCGAGCTTGAAAATTCGGTTCTGGATTCACCTTGAGACATCTCAGAGCACGAATCGAACCCAGATCGGGGTGAGCGGTCAAGGGCTTTGCTTACTGTTACTCACGTTGGTGCTAGTATACGGGTACAAACCCGCTTTGGGCTACTCCTGCGATTGTGCAGAGGAAGGGGCCATTTTGAGACATCGTAGGGTTTTCTTAAGGTAGCACTACACGAAATACGCGCCCATAGGAAACAGTACAAAACGGATCCAAATAGCGCCGCCTGTTGACTCTCGAGAAGAGGTTGGCCTCTGTTTTTTTCACTGCAAATTCAAGATTATGGTCAGAAGATCACTTTTTGTTTCAATTTTATGGGGGGTAGCCACAAAATGTTTTATTTGCCTTTCCCCGAACATACCTCAAGATAGTAGCAAAACTATACGCTCAGCTCTGAATGCAGCCGCCCTCTTCTCTTTGTGAAAGAAATATCCTGAACTGGAAATTATCAGTCCCAAATTCGGAATTTATTGAAAAATTTCTGTGATCCCTCCTGATTATGGCATGTCTAATTATCAAAACCTCGTGGAATCACAAAATATTAATGAGCTTGCCTGCAGAAATACAACGATTTGGTGGAATGCACCCTAAAAGTCCTCTCATCAGCATGGCGGATTTGCCTAGTTTCCATTCAGCACTAGAGGGCGCGATAGTAACCGAATCAGTGCTCACCAGCGTGTTGGGTTTGGCAGTGGTCTTCATCTGAGAAATCCCGACAGTCCAATACAGAGTCACACTCAAAGATCTTCAGCACACACTCGTTTCTAGTTGTACACCTATACATGGAAATGTTCCACTGCTCATGCTCTTCACACGAAACTGGGGTGAGTAGAGAAAGACGAACAAACAAATCTCTAGTTTTGAAATTTCCAATTCTGAAGGTTTCTACTATTTTAAGGACTATATAGTCATGCTGCACTCGAACTCACTGCTCCACCAACCCCTCTTTCGACCCCCAAAAAGTTAAGTTACGTGCAGAAAAACTTAAGAAAATAGTTACCCCTCGACACTCAATACCATTCTTAGTTTAGGAGTTGTTACTAAACTGAATGGTAAGAGACATGAGCCAGAAAATATCACAAATAATGTACGTGCAATGCAATACTCTGCACTGATAACAATAACGGCGCAACGAAACAGCTACATGTACATGTAGAGTGTGTATTGTTTTACATAAAATAGCCGACCTGCCTACAAAAAAATAGAGTTAGTTTCCTGGTCCATTTACGAGAGGATCAAAGTGGACAATTCAACGACATATGCACACATAGTTTTGCTTTGGCTGAACTTTCTCCACGCGTTAGGAATTTTGGAGTGGGCTGGACACGGCCTGACACAAGGTGACGCTGTTCATAATACAAGTGCTTAATTAATAATCACTGAAAATGGGAAAGAATTCCATATACGGAAGCCTCTAGATACC